GCAACCAGTCTGCAACCAGTCAGCAACCAGTCTGCAACCAGCAAGCAACCAGCCTGCAACCAGTCAGCAACTAGTCTGCAACCAAATGAGTGAGTCTCCTCTTGCAAAGAGATTCATCATCATAGACTGACTCAGATTAATTGCAATCTTTTATAAATTAGACTTCAGTTATTGGCAAGTCTTTGTGAATCCGTCTGAGAGGCAGTCTGACAGCTGGGAGACAGGAAGCCATCATCACTGACCCGTGCAATCACAAGTGGTCGCTCTAGGCAGCCGGTAGGTTCCTGCAGCTGCTTACAGCCACCAAATGTGAAGCAAATTTAGTACAATCACTGAACCGTTACCAGTTTTTCCTTCGAGGTCGCTGCTTGTGTTTTTATTCCATTAATCCGAGTGTGTGTTACTAATAATTTTACATTTTCCAAAAGATGTGTGCAAAATGGCAGCTATTCTGTTGTTGGGGTTTGCAGGTGTTGAGCTGCAGTTTTATGAACATTTAAAGATCAACTCTTTCCTCTGCACTCTGTGTTTTAACTGACGGCTCTGCTCTCTCCTCCTCAGGCGTCTCCAGCCGCTCTGGCTAAGAGCGTGCTAGCAGAAGTGCCCAACCAGGTGGTTGACTACTACAACAGCAAGGGCATCAAGCCCAAAGTGCCCAGCCAGTACCAGTCTTCCAGGCCGTTTGGTCCATGAGCCTACTGCCACAGCTGCCGCTGGACAGCACAACCTGAGAAAAATGTTTACTGTCTTTTGTTCTTTGTTAATGCGGATGATGAAGGTGCTACCTGCAGTGTCCTATCATTACAACGTGGCTTACTTTAGACCCGAGCAGACGACGTCAGTCTCTGGGGTAGAAGTTGTGAGTCGACTGGGTCTAAGTTTCACCGATCTGAACCAGGTCAGGTCTCGTTTTTACCGATACAGTCATCTACCTGAGGGTGCATGCTATCATCCGTCATCACGATCACTGCCTGAGGAGGGAAAAGGAGCAGAAGTTAAAGGAAAAGTGGAGCTGTTTACAAGTTAATAGAAAACCTGCTGATGCATCAGCTGCTTGTTCCACTTTTATGAAAATCGTGGCCAAAGTCTTTATTTAGACCTGCTTTTATTTTGGGTGCAATAAGAAGAAACACGGCTTCCAGTCTGATGCAGAGCTACTAATTATTTAGCTGCGTTAGCCGTGGAGCAGTCTTCTTATTATATTGCTGCTCTTTGATGTTAATCGGTCGGTATAACCAACCGCACACCATCCTGCTGCTGCTGGTTGTCTTCTTTCTCTGTTGGCGTCTGTTCAGGTCGACTGCTTTGTGCAAACCTCCGTCTGTTGGGGTCAGGATCGACCTGCTAGTTAAACATAATGGAAGCTTGTTTTGTAGCTGGGAAAACCTCGACGTTAGTTTGGTTCAAAACACAAACAAGAGAGACGCCGTTTGGATTACATGAGTTTTAGTTAGCATCGTGTCATTGGATGATCTTGTCATGAGAAACTTTCTGCTATAAATACTTGTTACCGCTGCCTATTTAAGTTATAATTCTCCTTAAAGACTAAACCTGATCTGTTCACATCAGCATTTTTGCTCAAGGGTCTCTGAACGTCCTGTTCAAGCAGCAGTCACATTCACAGCTGTGATTTCACCCGGGACCTGAAATGATTCGAACACCTTTTTGGCTCAGTAGACCCAGCACACGCCACAGACACACAACTGAAAGTGATTGGAACATAACGTCCAGGGACGCTGCCTTGAACAGCTGATTGGCCAGATTTCACCGTTTTTTTTTTTTATTTGATGGAGTGAAGAACCTTTTTTGATTGGAGGCCGTCACAGCCAATGAATATAGAGAATAGCATGACCTGTCTATGTTGTGCAAACTGCTAGTATTAAACAACTTGGTGTCTGTTTAGTGAAAATGTTTTGGTCCTGTTACTGCAACACTGAGATGTGACCCGTGGAGCTGAGCTGAGGGAAATTATGGATACTTTAAGTCCAGCATGGCATTAAAAAGGAACTGCTCGACAAACTAAACTTTAATTTAGCGAGTTTTGTCAGTGTATCCATTGATTTATCTTTTTTTGGCGCATAGCATTGCAAAAAGACGACGACAAAAACGTGTAACGAAGCCTGGATCTCATCGTTTAGCTTTATCTGATCATAAAAAACGATGTTCCCCCTCAAACTGGGGCATTTTGTGGGTGGAAACAACATTCTGTTCATTTAGACCTGCAGCAGAAATAAAAGGGAAAATGGTTGAGAACTGGGTTATTCCCAAAAGGGAAGAACAGCATGAAGGTCAGGAAGGAATTCATCACATCCCAACGTACACACCGGAAACTGCAAACGTAGCACCTTCAGCATCCGCTGTGCATGCAGGGTCGGCAGGCTGAGCAGACTGTAGCGTTCAGGAGTATTTAAGATGGAAAAGCACACAAACGAGCAACTCTGACCAATTAAACGCTGCTTCCCTGCAGACAGCATGACGGGCGGGGAACCAGTCGATGAAGGAATGTATGACCCCACCCCCACCTCATTTGTTTTTATAAGAGTTTATTGAGATTTTGCTAAATTTCGTAAGGTTCGTATGTAGTAAAGCATTTTGGATCTCTGCCAGAGTGCGCTGCCTTCACAGACGTCTGCATCCTCCACCGTTTTTATCTCCGGGTCAGGCAGATGCATGAACTGTTGTTTTGCATGCAAATCTCCATGCAGGACTGTGCGGTCCGTGTGGTTTCTGTTTCCTGGTAGTGAATAATATGAGTAATAATTCTGTTTACAGTGTGCCCAGTGATGGGGCTGTTCTACTCTCAAGCATGTTCACATGTAAATGACAATGTGTGAGTAGATTGAAAAGCACAAATGGAGCATCTTTGGAGACGTTTCTAGATTCTGGTGATAGATTTTGGTCACGTTGTGTCACAACACCTGTCCGTTTGTCTTCGTGTTTTAAAGAAATGAAGACAAAAGCTTGTTTTCTTTTAGGTTTATTGCAAATTACTGAAGCATCCAAACGTTTGTAGGACACGGTCACAGATATACGTCTTGGTGTTGGTTAGTGAAATCCTTCAGAGGGATCAGAAGTGTCCGAACAGCCGTGTGTGATAACTTAAACCTACGTTTTTACACATATGTTCATTCAGCAGGTTTTCACAGTTCTCTGCATGCAGCTCATGAACAACATGGTAATAACTGAGTTATTTAATAATATAATATCACGGACTAACCAAGCAAAGCTCGGCACTGACAGCAGGTAGTTGCACAGTAATAACAGGAAAATCCATTTAAAAGTACCAATGAGGCCAAAAGCAGCTACTGTGTATCGTTTAGTTTCTGACAGTGATGTGCTAACCTGCTGATAGTGATGATGAACGTTAACATTTTTACTTTTTTGGCTAATTTTAACTGAAAACCTTTAAATCTAATATTAGAAAATGATGAAATCATTTATTTTTGAACATTTTACTGTGACTGAAAGCACACGTGTTGCTTTCTGTGTAAGAACCAAACTACACCTCTCTAATTGAATTTTAATGTAAGGATATTTACACAATCAAAGTGTTTTTATTAGTAAATGTGCACAATTATCATGTTGTACACGAGCTGGAACATGAAGCAGTGACAGCTCAGCTTGCGTGTGCTTTACATGTTTGCTCCTCATAAACTTGAGCTGCTGCACAGGCACCGCTTCATTTAGCGAGGATTTTTTAAGACACTTTGATTTCTGCTGTCGATCAAGGAGCAGGTGGGGGACAGGTGTTGAGTCACATGACTTAGTGTTGTGTTAACATGCAGTATTGTGTGCAAAACAATGAAAAACTGACTTATAATAAAGTTTTATCAGTAAGCTTCGAGTGTCTCAGTATTTTCAGTGAATCTGTTTAATGTGTTCAATGCAACTTTTTTAATGCATTTAAAATATTTTATTCATTCAACCAATTAATCAATTTTAATTCAATTTAACTTTATTTATATAGCACCAAATCACAACAACAGTTACC